ATATTAGTGTATTTTTTAAATAATATCGATTTGTTAAAATTAACAAACTGGATGCGCAAATTCAGTTCCAAAAGTCTCAACAATCAAACTGAAGGTCTAACACAACACCCTTCCTTATCAACTAATGATGTTGAAAGACTTAAATCAACACTGGTCGGTTGTTGCTATTTATTACCTGAATAGTAAATGCCATTCGGATAGTATTTTGACCAAAAGACATAGAGAAGCTTTGGATGTTCTCCTTAAAAAATGATAACACAATAATAACAAGACCGGATAAAGGCTCAGGAGGGTTATCATGAAAAAAGTGGATTACTTTGAGAAGGTGAATACTTCTTAATATTCTTAATGATAATTTAAAATTCCGAAAAATCTCCTCTTCTCTGGATCCGAATGAAAAGATAGAGAAATAGTTAGCGGAAACATTGAGAAGGCTGAAACAACAGCGAGGCTTTATCTCATAGAGCCAGTGTACATCACTTCAACCCACTGGAACGTTTACACCAAGATTATATGGCTCGCCTAAAGTGCTCTCACAAAAAATGGTGTACCGCGTTGACGACCAGTATTAGATATGTTAAATTCACCATATCATCCATCCTATAGCCAAATGGTTAGTCGAACTCTTACAACTTCTTCATACCGAGTTGGTGAAACACAGTGGTGTAAAGAATACTTTTGAATTTGTTGAAAGGATAAAAGATTAAAATGTTGACAATAAATTCATGATATCATTTGTTGATGTATCTTCCTTATTCACCAATGTGTACCATTACTTATGGAGATAGTGGATTTTGTATGCGAAGAACTTATAAGACGAAACATCGATATCAGCATGCCTATATCTTTTATGAAAGAGCTTCTTTTGAAATGCACAATGAATGTTCACTTCTTATTTAGTACAGATAACATGATGGTGTGGCAGTGGGATCACCACTAGGACTCATTCTAGCTGACGTTTTCCTTGAAAAACTAGAGAATGGCCCTTTGAAAGATGTAATTGATGAACTTGAATTATATTGTCGGCACACGGATGATACATTTTTGATTATGAAAACAATGAGGATGAAGCAAAGAACATCCTGGATAAATTTAATGAGGTTCATCCTGCAATAAATTTTACTATTGAGATAGAAAAAGACGCCAGTATTTCATTTTTAGACATCCTTATGACTAGAAAAGAGGATGGTGCGATAAGAAGAAGAATAAGTGTATATAAGAAACCTACATCAACTGACTGTCAGTATACTCATTTTCTCAGCTTTGTGCCCTTAGAATACAAACACAGTCTGATAAAGTTCTTGGTTCACAGAGCAAGAGCAATCTGCTCAGATGGATGTCTTGATGAGGAACTTAATAATATTAAACAGTTGCCTCATCAGTAGAATCCAACGAATATACACTGAAGAAAGAAAGTTGACATAAATTCTGGTTGATAACAATCATCCAGACAAGTTCATCAAGAGATATAAAGTAGTCAGTGGAAGACCAAGACCCACTCTCCAACTCGCCCCTAGGAAAGACGTGTACATCAAGCTACCATATATAGGGCATCATAGCAGCTTGATAACTAGACAAATATTAAACGTTGCTGTGGTTAAAAAGACTTTTTATGCAGCTAATATGATAATAATTGAAAATATGAAGCCAATATATCCATCCATCTAAGCCCTATGAACATGCGAAAAATGATGTCACATCCCACTGTATTTACCAATTTGAATGTACGTGTGGACACACATACATAGAAGGGAGGACTCATCGATCTCTGTAAGTAAGGGCTGGCTGGTTTCAGAGCATATTCCTAAATGGCTCCACAAACAAATGGAATCTTCAGAACCAATTAATGGTGAGAACAGGAGACCTAGCTCTTCTATTGCGAAACATATTATAGAGACAGGACATAAAATTCACGTTAACAGATCTTTTAAACCTATCTATAAAACGTGTTTGGGGAGGACTTATCCTAAAGTGTATGGAAGCTCTAGCTGGCAATTAGGAGGTTTCAACCACCTTTTCCCTTTCGTCAAGCAAGCAACAATTTGTCATCACATTGAACCTTCCTTGATAAACTTTGTTTTGATAATAATCAGTCAGGGTAGATGCACTGTTACCTCTCTTATTTAGTTTAGGGATCTTCATTGCTATTTTGACCGTTAACTTGACCTAAGTCTATTTTCTCACCTCTTAACGCTTTATTAATTTCATATATATATACAATTCTATGACAAGTCGGTGGAGTGTGATCGGATTGTTCGAAATGTGTTGCTCAAATAACGACACTACACTATTCAGACAAATCACGTCTCTATTAGTTTGTTCATTAGATGTATCACACAGTGAAACAGTATTATTCAATGGATGATACAGCGTCGAACAAAATTTATTGCTGTTCATAATCGTATCAGTTGTAATCGTACAACTTCGAAACTTGAGTTTTATAGTTTACTTTGTCCTCTCCTACTTGTCGTCCTTGGGGTAGTAGAATTTTCAAATATCTGAGACAGGTGTTGAATCATTCCTTTTACATACATTTACGGTTGATTCGATAAACAAAGCTTCTGTTATCTATCTCTCCATCCACAAAGCTGTAACATTAGATTTTAAAACTGTCATCCTATCCCATCCAGCCTATTGTACGGTTGTGTGTAATTGCATGTGATGTAGTGTTATAGCTGACCTATTCTCTGGATTTCCTATCTCATTCAGGTCAACCGATATAGATTTTGCAGTTAGGTTTTTATATTCATCTAGTCTGACTCACTGACCCTGTTCTACAAGTTTGACCTATGTATTTGACCTGACAATTATTGCAGGCAGGGTATTAGATAAACTAAATTGTTTTGTTTTAAAGGCTCCACAGGACTGATCCTTTAACTGACAAAGCATGCTTCCTACCTGCCTTGTTCTGCGTAAGGTGGTTTCCGAAGTACCTTCTTTGTATGGAATTACTACTGGTGATTTCGATTCCTTATTGTTGGTGTTGTCTTGCGCACATGTGGCCTGCGTGCCGTCATTAATATTACTATTAGCATTATTATAATTATCACTACTATTATTATTCATTTTAGTTTTACATTTTCTTATATACTTTCTTGACTAATTTATCCGGGTAATTATTAAGTTTCAAGGCTTCTCTTATATGCCTCACTTCCTGTCTTAGATTTTCCTTGCTACTACTTAGTTTTTGTGCTCTGTTACTAAAGCATTTCACCAATTCTATTTTCACTGATATAGGGTGTGATGATCGGAAGTCCAAATATCTGTTTGAATGTGTGGGTTTCCTGTAGATACACTAGTGTGTTTAACTTCCCACCTTCTTTCCTTTCTACTCTGCAATCTAAAACTGAAAGCTCATCTTTCTGACTTTCTAATTCATAAGTGAATTGAATTGCCTCCACCTTTGAGTTAGTGTGTTCGAAAAATCTATCAATATCCTGTGTTCTAAGTACAGTGAATTGTGTCATATACATACCTCCCCCATATGAATTATGTCTTCTTATTGCTTTGTCTAAACATGAATTTCTTCATGTCAGTCATAATTCTTCGTTGTAATTCATATGAGAAAGTCAACTGGTGGATTGATCAAGGAGCTGAGTCGGCATCACATTGAGAGAGAACAAGCATAAAACCATTTAATCATTGCGTCATAATAGTTCACTAAACAATCAAGACAATGATTTGTATATGTTTCCGTTATCTTTGTTTGTGTGTATGTGCGCGTTAGGTGGATGGACGTCGTTCTCTATTCATTCTTCACGTTGAATGGTAAACTACAGCGTTAGTCGTCCACCGGTAGAATTCTCTATTAGAGAAACTCCAGATTCGATTCACAGATGACACACTCTTGAATCTCTCCTAACCTCTCATAGTAATCTCAGAAAAGAGGGAAGGTTGGGCATAAAAAACTTAAAGTTGGTTTGAAGCCTTATCTATGTTCCAGTCAGTTTAAAGTTTTCCTTCACGTTCCCACTGGAACATAGGGGGCTTCAAGCTAGTAGCTTGAAGTTTCTGTAGCAGTGGTGATTATTTTTACAGGATGGGGTTGCTAGCCTCTTGCCCAACCTTTCCTCTTGATATGTATCCACATATATATATGTATGTGTGTGTGTGTATGTTGGTCTCTCTTTCTGGTTGCTCGCTTAGTCTGTGACCATTTCATTTGTGTGAACTTGTCTCCTTTATTAATGTGTATTCTCCTTATATTATATTATATATAATATGAGTGTTTGTTGACAGTCCGTTGCTTAGTGACATATATCCATATATGGTTGTTGACATGTCTGCTATATTCGCTATGTATATTTGGATCGACACTCCATTATAATTAGCCATTCATGTTAAGACTGTCTAATGATTTGTTCCCACGCTTTGTCTGGAACATTCATATATATTTCGCATTCACAATCTTGTGACTTTACAACTACTTTACTTACTTATCACTTTGGTGTGAGACCATTTATTTTCGTCTCCTTGTGTTTGGACAATAGAAGTATCATCGCAAACCTAGTGGTCTTCTGATTTCCGCCTTCTCGCGTCAGGACTATTAGTTTCTCGACCAGTCCATAACAATAATTTAGCGACGAGTACATAACAATTTGGCGACGGGGAAACTAGAACATAACACCTCTTTACCAGCATTACTTCTGGCTTAGCGAGGTGAAGGAGTGCGTCTGTGGCCGGGGATCGAACCCCGGACCATATGTGGCATGGTCGACGAGTATCCTAACCACTGTGCCACCGACGCACATGTTCCAGTCAGTACGCAAAGAAATATACATCACTGAGACATTGAAACATTGAATGCATACATATATATATATTTAAGGTGACTCAGTTCAATTTAAACAAATAAATATGTTTAATTATATTTCATTGTAATTTGAACTAAGCACATACATATTTAATACTAAGAAACATAGAATTTAGTTATTACTGACCATTACCACTAGAAATAAATCGACGCAAAGTAATTTTTTTTGAAGTAATGTACTGTTCGTTCACTGTGACTTTATTTCATTCAGGTACGGATAGACCTTTTGAGAAAAAAAATGGAAGAAACGTGTAGAGTAAAGAAAAACAAAAGGAGAACAGTTCAAGCACAGAAAAAAAAAAAGAAAAACACATTTAAAACGTTTTCATGTGACTGACTATTGGTTCTTTGAGTTGGTTAGGTAGTTGAACTGCGTAACTTTCATTATGCTTCTAGACAAGATTGCTTCAGGGCTGGCTTACAATCTTTCTCAATTTTTTTCTATTCCTTTTAGTTCCAAGTGGAACATAGGGTGGCTTCAAGCTAGAGCCTTGAAGTTTCGGTAGCAGAGGTGTTTTTATTTTTACCGGATGCGGTTTCTACCCTCATGCCCCCCAACCTTCTCTCTTTACTGGTTTTTTTTACTTACTGGCTTAGTGAGGTAAAGGAGTGCTTTGGGGGTTGGTGATCGAATCCTGGACCACATGAGGCGTGATTGGCAAACATTCTACCTTTGTGCCACTGTAACAACAGAAGACAAGGGCCAGGCAACAGATCGTTTTATTACGAAAATCAACAGGTATTTATTTATATTTCCTGTACATTATTATAGCTCATATATATAGCAGTCTTCTGATTGGTTGTTTATCAGAAGTTAAGCAGACAAACCAGGCTTCTGATTGGTTGTTTCGGAATTCCTCGAAAAATAGATTTCTTTATCTGCGAATCATATTTTGCCATGTTCAGTCTGCTGTGATTGGTTGTTGAATGAGCCTTGTACATATTTTCTCACGGCCTGCTCTCACCACACCACCAAAGCACTCTTCCTTAATATAATCTCCTATATCCATGGTATCCCCTCCTTTGATATGTGCTCTTATGAAGTGTTCCAACTGCTGAAAAGTACATCGAACGAGATGGTTAGGACATGTGTTACGCATACCTGCCTAGTCATCGCCTTCCTCGACAAATGGGCAATGTTAGCTGACATAGGGTCGGGCTGGAAAAGACCTAGCCAGCGGCGGTCAAACCAAAACATGGCTGCACCAGTCAATGAAATCTGCAACACTTAGTTTAAGCCAGCCACCCACATAGTGAGGTGTAGACTTTCCCACTGACTGGTTGGAGTCTTCAGGACGGTAGAAACCAATGAAAGCTGGAGACAATAAGTGATATGGCTCAAACTTATCGTTCTCAATGACTATTGCACATGCATCCACTCGCTGTGACTTATGATTTCCAATGAAACTATATTGTTCTTCGTTAATACCATTCCTTTTGTCTCATACCTCTGTTCACTGTCTCTATTGTGCATTTCTTCTACTTTCTTCTGTTGCTTTGTGTGGTACATGGAGGGAGTGTGGCGACATGAACTGGTGCACATCGGTGGAAAGTTCTATGTCGAAAACAGACAGACAGACAGACTTCACACCCACCCTTTCCTGATTACGGGGCTCACTACTAGAAATTCTAATACGGGTTAAATGACGTTTACGAGTGTGCCAGTAGGGAATCAAACTAGGATAATATCCTTGGTTGTAGAGCATTCTTCCCACAATTAACTACTGACGCACACTTGTGCATCGGAGGCATAGAGGTTAGGACTCACTCCTATCCCATTCAAATGGACTGGGGTTCGATCCCCTGCCAACGCACACCTGATATCAATCGGTTGGCCTACAAAATTCGGGCTACCAATATCACATGCTGAAAATCCCCATACTTGTAGGAAAAATACGGTGTGGAATCAACCTATAATCAAAAAAACTATTATTATTATTATCATTATTATTATTATTAGCATAGTTTAACTTACCGATGATCTTTTCCAATATTTACTCGGTGTATACATCATATCCTGATAGGATTGTATCGATAAATTTCTTTCACTCCCCATATAATCTCGATGTAGTTTACGAGAGTGTCTTTTACAACAGTATAATACACAAAATCCTAAAAATCGATAATAATATCCTAATGTGCTATATTTGAAGAATATTTGATAAACAGCAAAAATTAGAGCCTGCAAAAAAACAAACAAAATTAAGCCACCATTTACACACAGATAGAGACAAAAATGACACTATGAAAATGGAAACTGATTAGTAGCTGAAACTATAGTAGCTGAAAACGAAACTAACAAATAATGACCTTGACAAGTGTGTCTATCTATCGACCAATCAGATGCGTCCAAGGTAAAAGCACGTAATTTGAAAAATAAGAAACACCTTTATATAAAAGTAGTGCAATGGTAAAAAGGTAATTATACATATTCCAAGGAAACCTCTCAATTTCCCACAGAAATTCACTTAGTTAGGTGAAATTCAATTTCTGTACATGAATTCGTCAAGATAACTGTAAACAATCGTGTGTTTTTTGATCCATTCATTGCTCCTATCCTATTTTCTAAATGACTCAAGAAACTTTCTATGGAATTTGTATGAGTTCCATGGAAAGGCTTAACGGCCAAGTTAAACTTTAAGCACCACTAACTATCAATCAGCAAACAACGTCGAATTATCTAATGAGATTCACGAACGTAAGTTCAGTGTTGTATAGCGCTTGATTCGTTTCAAATGTGTGTCTTAACAAGGAGGATAGTGTTTTCCAGTATTGTCTGGATTTAGGGTTGCTTTGGAAGAAGAGAATTTGTTCGTGTGGTGTGTCATGACTTTAAAAAGCTTTAGCAGGTCAACTGATGGAGATGTCTATCGTTGTGCAATATGTTTGAGGTGAGTTAACATTTGAGAAGGTAAGCTGATAATTTTAATATTTCGTAGGAACGTTTTTGGCAAGGTCACATCTCTCCTTAACGCAAATTTTGTATATTTGCAACTACTGGGTCTTGAAACAGCCAGTGAGAGCCACAGCTGCTGAGATGGAGAATAGCATCGTCTCAACAGTTCAATGGTATCAGCATTGCAGAGACATTGCATCGTGGAAAATGGAGAAAATCACTTCTTTGTCAGGTGAAGAAGACATCGTTGTGTACGTGGATGAAATTGTGTTGGCGAAAATGAAATATAACCGTGTTCAGCACTGAGCGAACTATATTTAGGCAATAGGTTTTTATGACACCTCCCTCCGAAAGGGATTCGTCGAAAGGATATCAGACAGAAAAGCAACTACTCTTACACCTATTATTAGAAGACTTGTAAAACTGGGATCTATAGTACATACGAATGAATGGAAATGTCACAATTCTCTGTCATCTCTGAGATATATTCAACATAGAGTGAACCATAAAAGTGATTTTATCGATTCCACTACGAGGACTATTGAAGGATTTTGGGCCGGTTGAAAAATAGGATTAGGGCTATCAGTGGATCTCAAAAGTATCTCATTTATAGTCATTTGGATAGATACATGTACAGAATGTGGTGTGAATTTTTTATTGACAGTCCTGGGAGATGTTTCTCTCACATGTTAGAGAAAGATACCCCCTGTAACAGTTTTATGCTTTTTTCCATTAATATACGTTTCTCTTTATCATAAATGTCTCTTTCGTGTAATTGGTTCGTTCAAGGTCGTTTGCTGATTGGTTGTTAGTGATGGCGAAAGTTTAATTTTGCCGGCTTAACGAAATCATCCGTATGACTAAGCACACTGTGAATATAGCCGAGGGATGACAGTCGCCTGTAGCTACTCCATTGGTGTCTGTGAGTGTCTTCTCCAGATACGACTGAACGTTGGATTATAGGTGATAGAACATTGGTACCACGATTAAGGATCGTCTAGATATATCATTTTCTCAAAGTGGTATCATTTCATCTCAAAACCTACTGTTGGTTAGCACTCAATCTATGGTGATTGTCTTTCATTGTTTTAAGCACCGTTTCGTCCATATGAACAATGACATGGATATCACCAAGTATTTCCCATGACATTATATCTATGCAGTACTGATGCCACTGCACTTCAGACTTCTCCGTTTTGAATACTATCACTATAACTGGTCTTTTCAGGACTCAGTTACGACACATCATCATTATTTTCGCTACAGACAACTTCGACTTGGCGAAGAAAGTACCTATACAATCCATAAACTAAAAGAAAAAACGGTATACCTTCTCGGAATGATTTCCTGCTACGAAAATCTTCGCACCTGTACATGAATCCATCAAAGGAGCTAGTGTGTGCCTTTCCAAACTCATCGTGCCTCCACATCTACACTTTTTATCCCATCCTATGAGCCTGTTTTCCAAACACTAATTAAATACTAAGTCTGGATGAAATTCGCTACGTGACTGGTGTACAGAATCCATGATTGCACATATATACTACGTACTCATTTGATTGGTTGCTCAAAGTCATAAGTCTGTTCATTGGGGGAATTTGTACGCAGAAAAACTAAGTATATTTTCATAGTTGGTGTTCTTTTACTTATTAGATTATTTCCAGCCTTGAATTGAATTTTTGATTTTCCCGTCGATTGATTGGACCGAAGCTGACGAGTCCCAAATAGGACGAAATGCGCATCCTGGATTCCACTGCTAGCGACCATCCACCAATTGTATTTCGAGCCTTATTGATATACTTTCTATAGTTTGGTTTGTAAGGATTAATTATGTTTTACGAGTTGATCACGGATTGATATCAGTTAGAGAACCATTGAAAACCAGGGATTACTGGACAGCTGCTGTTTCATCCTAGTTTGGGAATCATCGGCAGTACTCACCCACTGGATTCGAACCCAGGACCTTATTGATATAAGTATAAAACTTGGACACTGTGGTGGAGTATAACTCCTTTATGGATAACATTTTAGTTTGATAAATCACACAGTGCTGTTATACAGTAATATTAACTGACGCGACCACTTTTCAAGCTGCTCATAATCATATCAAGTCACTCACTCACACAACTTTTTCCTTCATTTTTATATACATGTGTGGAATTGACAATTAGATATTGGAATAAAAAAGCAACATAAGATAATGTACATTCAGAGTGTTATTGATCAATTACAATCAATTACCCAATGCTCAAATTTTTCCAAACTATTAAAAATGAACTTTTATTATTTTTATTTTATTCCTTTCAGTTCCCAATGGAACATATGGCTTCATGCTGTGGCTACGATGATTCAGTACCAGTGGTGTTTTTTACAGGATGCAGGTTGCTAGCATCATGCCTAACCTTTCCTCTTTACCAGGCTTACTACTGGCTGAGCGAGCTTTAGGAGTGCGTTGGTCGTCAGGGGTCGAAAGCTGGACTAATTAGTTTATTTGGCCAGTGTGCTGCCACTGAACCACTGACACACGAAAGTGAACTGGGGGGCCCAAATTTCCTTCGGTATAGTTTTGTTTAATATTTTATGCTACTGATTATTAGTAAGTAGTCAAAGACATTTAACGATTCCACTGCTAGCCACCATCCACCAATTGTATTTAACGAAGTAATTTGGAAACTACTTGAGTACTACGGCCTACCCCAAATACTAATCATCCTCATTAAACATCTGTACGACAATGGCACATGTCGAGTGATCCACAACGGAAAACTCAGCAAGGCGTTTGGAGTAAACACAGGAGTCAGACAAGGGTGCCTTCCTATTATCACCAATGATAATCCTAATTGTGGTGGACTGACTGGATTATGCGTCAAACAGTGAGTGGGAAACGAGAAGACAGGGATATCCTGGACCGACCGACGTGAAGAACCTAGAAGACCTGAATTTCGCGCGTGGATGATTTATGTTTGATGTCACTGTCACAAAATCGAAGACTTACAAGCGAAAACCGACAAACTGGTCGAAGAAGCAGCCGGCGAAGACAGGACTCTAAGTGAACATAGACAAGACGGAGGTTATGAAAATAACCAGCCAACAACAACAACAGCAACGACATCCAGCGTCAATCACCATCAACGGGAGGGATTTGAAAGTGGTTACTTCATTCACTCACTTATCTAGGGAACATTGTCTCAACTACAGGAACGGAGGAATGGACGAGGATGTCAAATCGAGCGAGAATCGGGAAGGCAGGCGAGAAACACATTCATCAACCTGAAATCAATCTGGAAATCTTCGTCACTCAGCCAGTATCAACAACAAAATTCGGTCGGATTTTCAATACAAACAACGTCAATTCAGTCAGTTGTTCTATACGGATGAGAAACTTGGCGGGCGGGTCACAAAGAATATTTCCAACAGCCTGTTACAGACCTTTATCAACAACTGTCTTCGCAGGATCTATAATGAAGATCAGATGGCCGGGCCGGAAAGAATCACCAACAAGGAACTATGGGGACAAACAAAGTAAGAACCAGTCTCCCAACAAATATGCAGGAGAAAGTGGATTGAGATGGATTGGTCACTCGCTGAGGAGACCGCTGGGTGACATCGCGCGTCAAGCCCTCGAGCGGAACCCGACAGAAAGGGAAGCGGCGAGTGGGCCGTCAATGCAAGGGTGACATGGAGGAGATCGTGTGAAGAGAGGAGTTGAAAGAGTATGGACTAACTAACATGGATGCAGGTGAAAAGTATAGCAGAAGGAAGACAGAAGCAAGTGAGAGGTGCAGTTGGAGCCCTATGTTCCACTAGGAACCCGAGGGAACAATAATAATAATAATATAATAATACTTATTAAAGTATTATTACACCGCTCTTATTACAACACTCTTATCTAGGCATTATCTTTTCAATTCCTGGTCTGTCTGTTTTCGACATAGAACTTTCCACCGATGTGCACCAGTTCAAGTCGCCACACTCCCTCCATGTACCACACAAAGCAACGGAAGAAAGTAGAAGAAATGCACAATAGAGACAGTGAACAGAGGTATGAGACAAAAGGAATAGTAATAACGAAGAACAATATAGTTTCATTGGAAGTTATAAGTCACAGCGAGTGGATGCATGTGCAATAGTCATTGAGAACGATAAGTTTGAGCCATATCACTTATTGTCTCCAGCTTTCATTGGTTTCTACCGTCCTGAAGACTCCAACCAGTCAGTGGGAAAGTCTACACCTCACTACGTGGGTGGCAGGCTTAAACTAAGTGTTGAGGATTTCATTGATTGGT